TGGCTGCAGCTGAAATAGGGAGGTGAGAGGTCTGGGAAACACTGAGGCAGGGTATAGATGGATGTAACAACTTCAGTATCAAAGGATACCAGGATAAGCTGTTATCCTGCTACTGCTACACTTGCATAATTCCGCAGTGAGTTTAACCCTGTTTCATTCAAGGTCAAAGTCAAGGTAATTTAATGTAATTATATCACTACAGGATCATGCAGCTGTGAAAGTGACAGTATAATAGCTGATACACACTTCAAAGCAGCAGCCCCCCTTCCTTTTTAAAGCAGGTAAAAGATGTATTTGCCCACACCCCTAAACAGTTTCATAGTAGGTAGGGTCAGAAGGGACCTGAGCAGATAATCAATCTGCCCCCCCGCCATGGCAGGAAAGAGTACTGGGGTCAAATGAGCCCAGCAAGGTGTTCATCCAGCCTCCTCTTAGGAGGGTAGAAGCCAGCACCAGTTCAGTTCTGCAGCCCTCACCCCTATTTAGTCTAAGTGCCTTTCAGTCCTCTTCCATCTCACAGGCAGAGAACTGAACCCCATGTACATTAAACAGTTTGCTCAGGAAAACTGGAGCAGAGTCAGAAATTGAGCCCATATCACCAGAGTCCCAGCCTAGTACCTTGTCCTCTACCAGCCTTCCCTACTTATGCAGCTGTCCTTGTTTCCTGTTATACTCCCTTTTTTGCTCACTGTTCTGTGTCTTATGATTGCCCGTGTGTCTTTCTTTTATTTCTCTGATAGACTAGAGATGTTAACCTACTAACGATGCTAACAGAATTAGTAGCTACTTTTTATATATGGTATCCGTGGCACGTGCTTTCTTTATATTAACTTATTTGTAATAATGTACAGTATTTGGTACCCAATCTATGAATGTGTATTCAATTACAAAGGGTCAATTTTGTTCTGGATTTCGTTCCAAAATATCTTCATTAATAAAGTCTGTAATTTGGATTTGCATGGCTTATTTTTGACCCAACAGATTCCATCTCACACTTAGAGATTCCTTTGGAAATGTTTTGTCCCAGCCCATGCTTTCAGGCAAAGCCGTCTTGCTAAAGCTAGGGAAGTAATTAACCTGGGGCAAGAGAGAAACTGCACCTGCAGTTATCAAGGACAGGATATCACTTTACACACGTGGAACTAAGTAAGTAAACACAGGGATAATTGGCCATGTTAATCTTCAGCCAAGACAGAACAGAGTAGCACAGAGGCTGGCTAAACAAACAGGAACACTCCCCTATACTTGGACTTTAGTATAGTTACAGGGCATGGAGTCTTATTTTCCCCAAAGCGTCCTCCCAGCTGTGCCAGAGACTCCAAGATCTTTGAGTGTTATTAGTATTGATTTTGCTGCCCAGATATGGGTAGCAGAATAAAAAGCCTAAAGCAGTCACACCTTTTGCAAAGAGAAGAGGAAGCTGAGCTGAGATTATTTCCCACTGAACAGGTACTGGTGATTTTTCAGCTTTTTTTTTCCTTCCCATGATTCCATTCTACAACAAAAAAGTGTTGGGAGTCCTCTGGAGATTAGAGAAATGCCTGTTCAGGTAAGAGTTCTGTTTGATATTATGTAGTTACTATGCAACTTGTATCACAGGATGCCTTTTTATGGGTGTGCAATCCTTTCTTTGGAGAGAGTAGATACAATAGAGTCATTAAACTTAATGACTAGTCTCTGGACTGAAGCATAGATATGCTAAGGAGGGTGGGTGGAGCTGGGAAAAGTTATCCTCCAGCTTGTCTGTGGGGGGCTCAGAGAGTAGGGAGAAAAAAGCAGCAGCAGGACAAAGGAATTGGGTATTGCAAGGAGTCCTATACATTCAGGAGATTCACTCAGACAGGAACAGAAATTCTGGGCGAGAGAGGGAAGGGGATGGGCTTTAGCTCTGGGCCCAACCAAGATCCAAGAGGGCCAAAGTTGGTAGGACTCCATAAGTCAGAGCCATAGACAATGCATAGGGGGGTTACAGGGGGCACAAGAGTGCTGGTGCCCCCCCTAACAGTGAGTGCTCTGGCTGGTAGGGGGGGCACACAGAGTGCTTGTGCCCCCCCTAAAATTGGCTCTGGTGGTGGAAGTGCCAGTGGTGGAAGCGCTGGCACTTCCACCACTGTGCCGCATGCAGAAGTGCTGGCACTTTTGCTGCCACTGTGGGGGAGACTGCTGGGGGACTCCCTCTGGTCACCAGCTGGTCACTAGGGACCCCCCCCCCAGTCATGTCCTGCTGGTACTCTCCCAAATTTGGGAGGCATGATATGGTCAGAGCCCAAGCCATGGACAGCCCAGAAGGATCCTGGGTCACCTCGGCCCGAAGAATTCTGTAAAACAGTAAAGAAGCTGATGCAAGGGATTATATTATTTATTATTTTTGTCTAGATCTGTACATTTCTTTTGCTACTAAGTGCAGAACAATGGTGTTTTGGAACCCTGTGCAAAGCCTGAATGTTATGTGTTGCATCTATCACACACCCCTAGAGAGACAAAGTAAAACAGATATTTCCTACCTTCTGTGGGGTTTTGAGTTTCAACAGCTGCTGGAAAGGCTTCTGGAAAAGGCACCTTTTTTTTTTAGATTTGTGTGTCATCCTTCTCAAAACAGGCTCAGGATGGTTTACAATAAAAGACACAAAAATATAGAAACACAATGAAATATTAAAATAAAGAACATACAAGATTTCTTAGGATGGTGTTATTTCAGGGTCTAAACAATAGATCTGGGGCTTTCTTTGTCAAGAGGGTTGTCAAACACAAGGTTCACAGCCAGATTGCTTTGCCTCAAGGCCCAAAGTTAGTGACTGTGGTTATACTCCTGCCAGTCCCAGCAGCCTAAGGCAACAAAGGACTCGGGGCTTGGACCTGCTCCCAACAGTCTTTTCAACGGAGAGAGTGTGGAAAAGGTACATTATAGATTGTTCTAGCTATGAAGAAAAGAAATGTGACTGAGTTCCTGAAACCTATTTGTGAGCCCCTGCAAGCCATAAGCCTCCAGTCTAAGGACTCCCAGTGCAAATCATCTGCTTTGAACGCATTTGAAAACAGAAAGGCAAACATCAGAAAAGCAAGTTGGCTTTCTGATTTGTGATAATCACCGGTCAAAAATTCAGGTGCTAGGGTGGGGAAAGGATCCTGATGGGAAAGTTTTGCAGTGGAAGACAGCAATTGGTTCTACCACTTTGCTTGATTCAGTCAATCCCACTCTGAGCCCTGATTATTAATATGTTTATATTTTCAGAAGTATCCTCCTTTTCAGCATGTTTCTGTTTTTGGGAACCCAACTTGGCACACTGTCAGTCTTTTCTTGTCTCTCCTTGGAGTTGACGGGATGTGCGGGGGTCTTGGTCCCTCTGGCCATCCAGCCTCTCACAGCCAGATTGGTAGCTATATACAATAATGGTAGCTGACCAAATATCACACAACCAAAGATAACCATAAGTTCTTCTGACTGAATACCTGTCATTTGGAGAGACACGGACAGCTAATTAAAGAAGGCATACCCTATAGACAGAATCACGGATATAATAATAGCCTTAGAGCTATACTATAACCTATACCCCTGCATGCCTACAACCTATACCCTTGCAGATCTCCTTAGACTCTAAGGATATCTACATATATTCATTCCTGCTGGTTTCTGAGGATGCCCTGAAACCATGGCACAGGTGTCACGTCTTATGCCTTTTTATCTTTTCTAGTGTGAAATCATGCAATCCTCCAGCTGTTAAACTGGACTCTGCACTCCCAAAGCCAGTGTCTTGACTATGCTCACGTAACAGGCCCGACTGGCTTCAATGCCTGTGATTCTTTCCTCTGGGAGCTTGAGAGTAGCAACGAGTATACAGACCAGCTAGCAGTTTCAAACCAAAGCATTGTTTAGTATTTTGCAGTAGTAACAAAACATTTAGGGGGAAAAAAGGCATTGTAAAAACAAGAACTATCTAAATACTTATACACTTTATATGACCAGTGATATACCACCATCCAGATCTCTTGATGGTAACCCAGACAGATATAGTTTCTTCAGACAGGCAGAAGATGCCCATTAAGTCTTCATCCTGACTCCCTAATCGTATACTGTGTATAACAACTGCAGAGAGCAAGAGATCCTCTCTGGCCTGCCTGAATTTCTTTGTTATTTGCACTTCTGGCTTTTTACCCTTTGATGAACTAGTTTTACAGGTTGGCTGGGGAGAAAGTAAAATCTTCAAAACTAACAGTAGGGCACTGTCCTCTAGCAGCTCTGAAATGTTTGTTTAGGGCAAACTTATCCTGGGCTATGTTTTTGCATCCCTACTCCTATCAAACTGATCTAAAGTATACCAAATGATACCATAAACTGCTATAATCTGGTCACCACAGCGTTCTTGGACCATTAAGGAGTAACTTCAGTTCTACTAAGGGGGTATAGGGTTGATTTTTAACCAGCTACACTGAGGTAAAGCTATGGGACACTTTGTAGCCCCTAAGATTGTACAGCGTTAACTTCCCATGCAACTATATGCCTATTTTGCAGTTTTGACAGAAATGCTAAACCTTTCTTCCCCATGGCTCAGGTCAGGTTTTACAGCCCCCACTGAAACTTGTGCTTTTGTGGCTCCACTGCTATTGGCCTCAAGCTAGCTAGATTGCAGTCCTGCCTCTGGATTGCTGTGCAGCACTAGTCCAAGGAAGGCAGGGGGGGTTATGCAGGAGGAGGCATAGCAGGACAGGGGCGTGAAAGTTAATGTGGAGGAACCATGGGGGCTCTGGAGAGACCGGGCATTTAAAGCTGATAAATAGAAGGAAGCTAACATCCCAAACCATGGTTGGGAAGTGGGCAAGGACCATGGGGCAATGAGGATGTCCCATTCCTCCAAAGGTCCTTGCTGCTGGTAATGGTCTGTGTTCCTGCCAGCTGTTATGGCAGATAACTTTCCAATAAGGGGTGACTACCATGTCTCAGAACCTGGAGAGCACCACTCTCAGGGTGAGACAGCACGGCATGTATGGGGGAAAGAAGAAAGCCCAGATGTGGCGCTGTTTTAGCTTGCTTTCTTCCTTCAAGCTTGACAGCTGTGTTTCTGGTTGGCTCCTCACACCAGTTCCCTCTTCCCTGAACTCAGATGGTGGTGGGGAACCTTCCACAAACAGACCAGGCTCCAGAGTATTTGTTCAATGTGCTGGTGGCTTACAGGCAGCTCCGGCTTCTCAGATCCTCCTGCTGGCAAACCTAGGCAAAGCAGCACATGGTCCCTGGTCCACCACTGCTGAGCACCAATTTCTTTCACATGTGCATGTATCCACAGGCATTCATCTGCCTTGCAAGGTTTTGGGCCCAAGGATAGAGCAGGATGGGTAACCCTAGCTGAATCTCAGCTCTGCCACCCCCCACAGTACTGTTCTACCTGGTGGAGGTGCTTTTTTCTGTACTTCTTTTTAAACCAGTTGGATCAAGGATTTTGAGTTTTGTGGGACACCTGCTTTTGGATCTGAGGCTGAACTAGGCAATCTGAATAGCAGGGTAAAGAGCTCAGTTCTGTGCAAACAGCCACTCGTAGGACCAGAGAGCCCAGGGCATAGCAACTTCTAGCATGTGGAACAAACATAGTTCCTATACCCTCTCACTGGTTTCTATGCTATGAAGACACCACTTTATTTATCCAGCTTTGACCTAAAAGGGCACAGTCCTCTCCCAAATTCACGCCATCTGCTTTAATGCTCGTGATCCCCCATAATGACACTCTCTGCTAAATACTGCGGGCTTCTACAGGTTATACAGAGCTGAATATTGTCAGCATCTTGCAAGATAAAGCCTTAAATGAGCAACTGGTGTCATTTGTGTTTCGCAATTTTAAGAACTCGGATGAGAATGTCCTTCATTATGTTCGGAGCTAATGTTGAAGTGTTGCCATTAAATGAGTTTCTGGTAGAAATGTTGGCAAGAAGGCCGCTGTTGTGAACGTCCCTATGGTACGGTGCGCTGTGGTAAAGATACTCCAGTTACGGTGTTCTCTGTAAATTATGTCTGCAGGTTGGGATCCTGTTGGCTCAGACTCCATAGGGGCCAGGTTGTAACCGCACTGGTCTAGAGACAAAAGGAATCAAAACTCGTGGCAGAGGAACATCTTTTATTAGAGCAACTAGGCAGGCAAGGTTCTTTGGGTAGATGAGATATCTTTTATTAGACCAACTGAGTAGTTGGAAAAAAGTTCTTAGCAAGCTTTCGGGTGCAGCCACCCTTCTTCAGGCACGGGGAGTCTCTGCTGGTCTGCGACTCCAAGGAAACTGAGAGATGCTAAAAGTGCAGCAGGATGTCAGTGAGAAGGTAAATAGGGAGAAATAAGAAAGACAAAAGGTAAAGCAGAGAGGGGAGGGGAAAGGCTAAAGGGAGACATTACAGTGATAGACTACAAGGTGGAAAAGAGGCTGTCTGTGAAAAAGGAAATAGCTGGAGATCAGGGAAACAGGAATAAGAGAAGCTCAGTGTGAGAGGGGGTAGTGAAAATATAAATAGGTACAATGGAGAAACAAAAGGGGAGGGGGGAAGGCCAGAGGGAAACATTACAGAGGTAATAAAACAGGGTAAGAAAGAGGCTCTCAAAGAAGAATGAAATAGTAGGAAATCAGGGAGACAAAGGAAAGAAAAGGAGGGGACGGGAGGGGAGAAGAGAGGAACATCAGAGGTCAGGTCAGGCAGGCACCTGTGGATCAGATGTCAGGCAGTGAAAAGAGGCTTTTTCACAGTCTGTCTCCGTAATGTCTCCCTTTAGCCTTTGTTCCCCCTGCTCCCTACCCCCTCCCTTTTGTCCTTCTAATCTCTACCGATTCACCTTCTCACCGGCCTCCTGCCACACTTAGCGTCTCTCGCTCCTTGGCAGTCTCAGACCAGCAGCGACTCCCCCTGCCTGAAGAAGGGCGACTGCGCCCCAAAGTTCGCCAAGAACTTCTCCCCAGCAACTCAGGTGCTCTAATAAGAGATCACATCTACCCAAAGAGCCTTGCCTGCCGGTGTCCTTAGACCAACAGGGCGACAGCCAAGAACCCAGCATTACAGCGAGTAGTTTTTGCAAAAGCATGCCTGTACAGGGGCTAGGGGACGCCCAGCCGACAGATGCCCGGCTCTGGCTCCAGTTCGGACGGAGGGTGCAGGTGTAGACTCGGGGGTCTCAGCATCTCTCCGGCCCGGACACGCGTTAGAGCCGGGGGCCGCCTGGAGTAGTATCACACGACGGGCACGGGCTGGAGCCGGCCACCGAGACAAGAGCCACGTGCGGCAAGGAGTTCAGACACGCCTGCGCAGTGCAGAACCCTGAAGCTGGAGGGGGCGGGCCCTGACGTGAAGTAACCGCGGCAACAAGACAGCTCTGGGGGTCACGTGGCACGATGGATGGTGCGGCGCGCGCTGACGGAGCCCGGGTCACGTGGCGTGAACGGCTGCGGGCCTGTGACGTCATCAGCGGGCGCCGGGCCCGTTCCCCGCTGCGGGTGCGGTGCGGGCTCAGGTTCGTCCGCGGGCGGGAGCCGGGGGGGGTGTCCGTCAGGGGAGGGGGTGCCCGCTGTCCCGCCTGCGGAGGCTCCTCTGGCCGCCCAGGCTGGTCCCCGCCGGCCTCCTGGGCCAGGGGCAGGTGCTGCCTTTGTCCCGGGACAGCTGGTGCCTGGGTTTATCCCGGAGCAGAGATCCCGGGATTGGCCCGTGCCGACATGGCCCTTTCCATACAGGCTCGGGTGACCATCGTAGAGGACAGTCCGGTTTTCTGCTACTCTGTCCTCTCTTGATACGAAACCCAGCGCCTTTAAGTCTATTTCAAGAGAAATCAAGGATATAGCGGCATCCGGTTTCGTATCAATAGAGGACAACTGGACTGTCCTGTATGATGGCCACTCTAGCTGTTGCTTTTGTGCCAGAAACCTGGCATGAGCCTTCAGACGCTGTCCTGGGATTAACTGTTCGTGCCCTTTTGTCCTGTGAAGCTCCTGGGACAGCAGGCACGGGTGTCCGAACAGCGGCGCGTTGAGCCCGGATGATACGGTTTGCCCCTCGACAAGTGGCCTCCGTGTTGGAGGCTTCCTGCACTCCCAGTGAAGTAAGACTGCTTTCTCTGCTTGCAGGGAGCTGAGGCGCCTCCCGCTCCCTGTGCTATGCTGCTGACGCTATGGCTCCGAAAGATATCATGACTAACTCACATGCCAAGTCCATCCTCAACGCGATGAATTCCCTGCGGAAGAGCAATACTCTGTGTGACGTGACCCTGCGCGTGGAGCAGAAGGATTTCCCAGCCCATCGGATTGTGTTGGCTGCTTGCAGCGATTACTTCTGCGCGATGTTCACCAGCGAGGTAGGCAAGGCAGTTGTCGCAAAAGGACTTTGCATCCGTGTCTGTCACGGATGTGGCTGGTGCCTCAAAACCTCTGACTGGGGAACCAGGGGGTTGTTGAGAGAGAGTGCTCAAGAGACAGGAGTTTCCACCTTGCTAATGTAGGTCTATTCAGCAGACAGCACATGCTCCCATACCTAGAAATGCGCTAGTTACTTTGCAAGTGAGTCTTCCTCCCTGTCCTTGATATTAGACAATTCAGGGTCTCACTGGGGCATACTCTAGTCGTCCAGCGGTTTAGTAATCCAGTGGCCTTTTGTTCCCAAACTTCTTTTTATGCCTTTTTAGTTGCATATTTATTATTTTCACCATGACTGTTGCAAAGACTACTGACCATTTTATAGGTTATTTGCCTAATTGAGTTTTCACTATTGGTTATCTTTCTAAAACCCTGTCTGCATAGACACACCCAGGCTGTTATACTTTTCTTATCACATTTCTTTTTTCTTTCTGAGCATCTTCTTACTGTCCTTGACAAAGTTTCTACATTGACAACGCTTGCAGCTGCTTTGCTCAGCTTTAACTAGCTAGTGGTATTTTAGCAAGCTTGCTGAAGTTTAGCAGTGCCTTGCAGAAGTGGCAACTGGCAGTTTTCTATGGTTTCTTGGCCATCAGCCTCCTGCTGTACCAAAATCTAGTGCTTGCTCCATCCAACTCTTGCGTGTTCTTGGTTCTAGAAAGGATTTTGCTTTCATCTTGAAGAGTTAGATTTTATTCTGTGTATTATGTAACCAAGTGTGATCCAATTCTACCTGGTTCAAGTGCCAGAAAAGTGTTACTGTGCACACTTATAACAGTCTGAAGGCTAAGATGACAGACTAAGTCAGAAGAAACTGTGAGCAGGGGGAGGATCTATCCCCTTCTTGCATTAACTGTTTCTCAGAAGGAGAGTACAATAAGATCATATACAGATCATGTATAGTCTAATAGGTAGAATAGGATCTGGCTCTGACTACTAAGGATATTGAACACCTAACGACTCAAAGCTTTCAAACAAAAAACATTCCCCCAGTGGTCTTGTCATCCAACAGTCTTTCTGATCGTGGTATTTGCATCACAATAATAATGAAAGATTCCAAATGGGATTATTATCCTATTATGTTAAGTGCTGTATAACCAGAAACAGTGCCTAGAGAGTTTGCAGCCTAAATAAACAAGAGTGAGAGAGAGCTGGGTAGGCAGCCAGTCCAGAGATGAGTTGCATCTCATTTAATATCATAGAGCAGGTCAGTAGCAGAACCAAGAATATAACATTGATCCCCTGAACCCTAGCGTAGTGCTCTCTTGATTAATAACTGTTGTTTTATTATTTATATTAGCCTACACTAGTGGTGCCAGATCTAGCACCTATGCTGCATCTGTGTGTGGGCTGGTCTTTGAGCCAAATCTGTCTAGCACAGTGGTTTTCAACCTTTTTTCATTTGTGAACCCCTTTGGAAATTTTGAATGGAGGCGTGGACCTTTCTGAATTTTAAGTGTGGTATTCACTTGCTTTTGATCATAGTCATCTTTCACGGACCTCCTAGATATAGTCTGCAGACCACAGGTTGAAAACCACTGGTGCCTGGCAGACCAGCCCTGCTTTACTCATCTGGCCCACAGGGCTGGGTGAGTTTGATATTCGCAGTTTACACTAAGGACATGTTCTAGTTCCAAGTCGGGGGCGGGCAAAGTCTGGGCTAGATCAGGCCTGCAGCAGACTCCATTTCCTAGCAGCCCCTGGCCACGTTGCTGCAACCGGTTTCCATGGAGACCCTAGGAGCAGCAGGGCCATGACAGTGTAGGACCAGGGTTTCTATGGAGATTGGCTCCAGCAGCCTCCCTGCCCAGCTGTGCCCCCTGCCAGTGCTGCTGGGGCCAGTCTCTATGGAAAGCCTGGCCTCGCATTGTCATAGCCCCTCAGCAACTTGGGCAGAGGTTGCTGGGAAGTGGAGTCCAGCTGCTGGCTTGATCTGCCTTTTTTCCCACCCCTGTTTTAAGCAGTAAAATGACTTTGGCAGAGCTACAGCTAACATTTGATTCAGACGGGTAAATCTAAAGCTATGGGTGACTGATTCAGACTTAATGTGGTAGCAAATAGGGGGAAAAATAGAGAAGGTAAAGGAAAAGATCATAAAATTGGGTTTTTTAAATCATCTTTGTGGCTTCTTCCACAGAAGAACAAAAGGTAACTTTGGTTTCCTGTTAACTTCTCAATTACTAGGGAGAGAAGAGGCATGAGCAACTGGAGATTCAGACAGTCTACCTGAAATCTTTCTGGAGATACTGGTTTTCCTAATCTTAGCCAGTGAACAAAGCTGCCAGCTAGAGGTCTGCTTTTACGGACATATGCCATATTTTTCTCGTACCTAGTCCTAATGAGTAAATGATTAGAGTGTGTTAGTTTCTATAAGCAGGTCCAAGAAAAGCTTCTATTTACCCTGTATTTTTTGGTCTTCGTGATTTTAAATTTTGCTTTATTATCCCTACAAAAACTGAAATGGCTTTTATGAAGTATGTCTGTATTGATGGGTATAGAGAACATAAAGGAAACAATGAAGGGAGTTTGATTGTTGAAGGTTTAGGCTTTACATCTGCAAAGACTGACGTTCTCCATCTACCAACAGCTGAGGCATGGACATAGACTCTCTCCACTTCAGCCCCTAGCTCTTTCTCAGTGCATGTGACCACAGGGATCGCATCTAGCAATCTCAAATCCTGGGGGCCTAATTGAGAGCCCCAATAAAGGGGAACAGAGGCAGTGATTTGTGTGCGCTAGGAATTAGGTTGTGATTGTCAGTTTTTACTTCTTTCTGTGCTGGCTTTAAATCTCCAAATTTTAGTGCCTGTGATAATAGTTGTTTATAGCTGAAAAGTGCTTCTGACTCTTGCCTTCTTTTGTCCTTCTGTGTCACTTAAAGGTTTTACATGTTCTTTGTTCGTCTTAGAGTTTTGCTTTTCTGTTTGGAACCCCAGTCTCGGAGGCCTGCCAAGTAAGATATGCCAATCCTGTGTGTTTTATGGAAAAAACTTCCTCCAAGAGAGATGCTTGCTAAACCCCAAGCTATGTGTGGTGATAGCAAATGCACTGTTCAGGTAACAGGGGTTATGTTTGGTAACTGTCTCAGTCAGCTCTGGTCTTGTGTGCTGATAGGTAGGTCCATAGATATAACTCTAAATAGTGGTTTTGTAGATTTAACTGAAACGGTGAAAAACAGCGTTGTCCGTGATTGCTGCAATTGCTGGGAAATCCGGCACTGGCCACGATTTCCCGTGAAATCAACCGGAAAAAAAGTCAGTAGTGAGGTAGACTGAGTGAAGGTGCCCTCTGTCAATCAACAGTGAGAGGCAGGGCAAAGAAAGCAGTAGTGAGGTAGTAGTAAGGGGTGCGGCCATGGCGAAATGCCCACAAAATCTGTGTGCTGTAAGTGGGCCGTGAAAAACCCGTTGTCTCTCCATAACTTAGGTTTTTAGTTATGTCTCTCCAGTCATCTGGGAGAACTCAGTGTGACTGATTATGAAGTAGATTGATTGGCATAACAAGGGCTTTCATCTACGTCAGAGGTGGGCAAAATGCAGCCCGGGGGCCAGATGTGGCCTGCCAGGCCATCCTATCTGGCCCACAGGGCCCCTAAAAATCTAGAAAATTTACGTTAACCTGCCCTGGGCTGCCTGTCATGCGGCCCTTGATGGCTTGCCAAAACTCAGTAAGTGGCCCTCTGCCCAAAATAATTGCCTGCCCCTGATCTAAGTACTTTGTATATTAATTACAATCACAACTTGCCAGTGTCCTAGGGAAGTGCTAGGGGCTGGGGTGGTGCTAAGGTGCACGGTTGACAGCCCAGGGGTTACAAGTTTGAGGTTGCAGCATAAGCACTTCTGGCTTATACTTACCTGGCAGGGGAAATACCCTGACCATGGTGGTGGCAAAGGAACTACCCTGACCAATGTAATACAATTAAAATGGCACTGTGTAGTGGAGGGTACACCCTTGTCTGCTTGCAGACAGGACTCCCTTCGAGAGCCTCATAGCTAGCTTCCCGCTGGCCAACCTCCAGTGGGAGGATTTCAGGTATACACCAACTTTATGGAAGTGGGAGATTACTCCCTAGCTTGCTAGTGCAGCCGTACAGCTGAGGGCAAACGTAACTTGGGTATGCAAATCCTAAGCCTCCAAGCTTGGGCTTGCATGTAGGAGGCCTGCCAAAAGATTTGGAAGTATCTGAAGCTCCAGGCTGAACAGTTTGGGGTGGAGAATACTTGCTTGTTGTAGGGTCACGTATAGGTCTTGAACGATTCAAAAGATTTGGAGTTGATTTGTCTGATCTGGCTAATTTGACCTGGAACATGAAAAAATTTTCCTTTTAGGAAAAAAATAATAATTTTTTAAATTCATGGCTCAAGCCCTGTTAGGTTCCGACTAATCTGTGGATTCTGCTAAATACCTTGTCACAACAGCATGTAAGAGAAAAGGAAGGGAAGCTTTTCAACTCTTGGAAAGTTGGGGATTTCTTTGCTTGCTCACAACATGAGTTTCTAGTTTGCAATATCTACTTAAACTTTGGCTGCTCTGTGTTGAAGGCTAATAATCAGGTCATACCTTGGGTCACTCTTGTCTCAGCTCTGTGCTAGCCATCAGTAATTCGCCACCACGGAGAACTGTCTAAATGCAATTACTATGCCTCTGTGACTTTTCCATCCTTCACCCTCTTTTGAGTTTAATGTTTACTTTAATTTTTTTTTTCAATCCTGTGTTAATATTGATTTATTTCCTGTTCTGTTTTTCCAGGAGGCAGAGAAGCCATTGATTTGCACGCTGAATCCCTGGCTGTTGATAACTGCCTTTCTTTGCATGGAGTAAGGGAACTGAACTAACTCTTCAGTTTTCCTTGTAGAATTGTTACTTGCAATGAAAACTGAAAAATCACTTCAGCAAATGCATCCCCACTTCTGGTTTTGCCCTGGGATTTCTGTGCTTGTTTCTGAAGAGCATATTTATAACTTCTAAGGATGCTTTAAGAGCTGATCACTGCCTCCACTCCTGAAAAACTACATAGTTCAATGAAAATAAAGTACCGGCAACCCCCACTTAGCACTCTTAACACGGAGCATTAAGTAAAACCAAAAGTATTTGATGACTCAAGATGGCGACCACAGTTGTTTTTAGTGATCCAAGATGACAACCGCAAGTGGTATAACGAAAGTCACTGAGCCAGGGGCAGGCAATTATTTTGGGTAGAGAGCCGCTTACTGAGCTTTGGCAAGCCATCGAGGGCCGCATGATAGGCAGCCAGGGGCAGATAAATATTAATTTTCTAAATTTTTTAGGCACCCTGCAGGCCAGATAGAATGGCCTGGCAAGCCGGATTTTGCCCACCCCTGCCTGAGCACTAAGTGAAATCGGGTATCAATTTAAAATGAGCATTATAGTGAAATAGCACTAAGTGAAACAGTGTTAAGTGGGGGTTGCCTGTACTCTAGCTAATAGTACTCTCTAGGACCTGTTTTGCTTCCTTGGGAGAATGTGTAGAAACATCCTTCTCCTGAAAATAAACAGCTTCTGATTCTGATCAGGTTTTCATGAGGATGTCTGCTAGAGCTTGCAAGTCATGTGCCTTAAGGCCCTGCTGGCCAGCATTCATTTGTCATATGGCAGTTTTTCTCTGTTCTTCTCTGCAAAGTGAAACTAGAGGGGTTTTTTTAATGTATGTGTTGTACCCAGTGTTTGGATCAGTGAAAGCAATGCACAAAAAATAAGTAGTGATGGTGGTGGTTCCAGAGTCTTGGGCTGGCCTTTTGGGAAAGCCCTGTTTCATGCAAAGCATGGGACCTATTGCTGTAGGGGCTGTTGGCAGTGATGCTTGATACCTCTCTTGCAGCAGCATCCTGCCTCAGCTCTCACAAGTTTGGAATACAGGGTGAAGGTATTGATTTTACTCTATCCAGTCATAACAAATTATTTAATTTAATCTTTTACAAGAGAAGCTCATATGTTCATATTGCTAATTACAACAACTCTGACCATAGGTTTCTAAGCCCTGCTGTAAGGGAATTCCTTCCTCTTATGCTTTTTCCCTTTTATATGCACTAAAAAGGCAGAGTGCTACTGCAGCCTTTGAAGGGTCATGTTTTCAGATCCTAGTCAGCAGCATCATTGGTTTTTCAGGCAGTCTTTGAAAACCATTGTCATCTCCTTCTAATTTGCAGCTTTCAGAGAAAGATAAACCCTATGTGGATATACAAGGGTTGACAGCCTCAACTATGGAAATCCTACTGGACTTTGTATATACAGAAACAGTTCACGTGACGGTAGAAAATGTCCAGGAATTGCTCCCAGCAGCGTGTCTCCTTCAGCTGAAAGGTAATTACAAAGCATATACCCATGTAAATTGGACTATAGCTGCCATTTAGACCTTTGGGCAGTCTGGCCTTTTATAAATAAAAGAGAGATTGTGTATGGCAGAATATTTATAGGTTGCTGCTGTGCTGTTTCCAGGCTCCTGTCTTTGTGTATTTAAACTATTTGATAATTGCTTGCTTAAGTTCATATTTGTGCACTTCTTTCGTATTGATAGAGGGGTTCACTCTTGTGGAAGTGAAGTATTATAATTAAACAAATTGTTGTTCCAGGCTTATCTCTTTCTCAGGTCACTTATAGGGTGAGACTCCCTTTTGAGTTTTGTTTTTTCTTGGGTTGTTTTTTTTTTTTTTTTTAATAATGTCACTTCATATGTGTAAATTAGGGGTGCACCAATAAAGATTTTCTTGGCCAATACTGATGGCCAACTGTTAACCAGCCACGTCAGCCGATATGCAGCCCAACAGCTTGGAGAGCAGCGTTTGGCTGGTAAGTTTGTTGGGGGTTGGGGGCGGGGCATGGGGGAGAGAAGGAGCATGGGGATGCTGATTGAGGCCCCACATTCAGGGAGGGAGTGTGGCTGGGGCAGGGGCATGTGCTGCCAGCCAGGGCAGTGAATGGGCCCCTGGCATGGGTTGTTGGGTGGAGCTGAGAGCCGCTTGTCCGGGGGTGGGGAGAAGGAGCAGCTCCCTGCCACTGCTCGCTCCCCCGTGGGAGGCATGTGCCCTCCAGATTTGTGTGCTGGGTGAGGGCAGGCTGTGGGCTCAGGGCCAGGGGCTGTGCTAGTTATTCCCTGGTGGGGCTGGGCTGGGATTGTGCTTGGGGCAGGTGGCGGTGCTGGGAAGGGTGGCTATGGCAAATTTTGAAGTAGCTGTAGCCCACCCTATATCCACCCCTGCTGCTGGGGTCCATTCACTGCCCTGGCTGAGCAGCACCTGCCCCTGCCCCACACTCTCTCTCACCGTGGGGACCTTGATTGGCCCCATACCCCTTCCCCCCAGCAGACTTACTGGCTGGACGCTCCCCTCCAAGCTGCCCAGCTGCAATCCTAGTTGCATGCATGGTGCAGCTGCACACATGCACATGGCATTTATCAGTGACATTATTGGCTACACAGGCCAAAAATGCCAATTGCCAACAATGTTAATTTTCCTTTTGTCAGTGCTGAACCAATATGCCACCAATGTATTGGTGCACCTCTAATGTACATACAGTAGTTTAGTGTCATAAATATGCTGCTTTGTTTTCCTGCTCCTTTAAGAAATGTTTGTTCTTATTTCCACATATATTTTGTTTTTAAATGTGATTCCTAGGTTGTTGTTTGTTTTTTTTTAAATAGATTAGAACTTGTTTTTCCAAGACAGTGACTGGAGAGAAATATAGGAGTTTGCTCACTTATTGTATTTCTTTATAGGTGTGAAGCAAGCTTGTTGTGAGTTTTTGGAAAGCCAGCTGGATCCATCAAACTGTTTGGGCATCCGGGATTTTGCTGAGACACACAACTGTGTTGATCTAATGCAGGCTGCAGAGGTCTTCAGCCAGAAACATTTCCCAGAGGTGGTTCAGCATGAAGAATTTATCCTCTTAAACCAGGAAGAGGTAGAAAAGCTCATCAAATGTGATGAAATTCAGGTAAAAATCAAAGGGATTGTTCCAGTATAAATCAATGAAAGCAAAATGCTTAAACTAATCAAATCAAAGATAGCCATGATTCCTCGACTCTCTTTGGTTGCCTAGTTATGCTCTTGGAAAGGCCTTCTGAGTCTGAATGCTGTCCTGACATCTGCTTCTTGTTGTTATCAGCTGCATAGTCTGAAGCTGATGTGTAGATTACAGCTTCCCCTCTGCAGGAATATTTCTATCATTAGAAAGCTAGCGCAACATGGAGAATGAAGCCCTGCTTTCCCACTGGTCAGTGTAGTAATCATTAACTGCAGTTCTGCCAAATGGACCCAAACTAGTGATGGGAAGCATGGCAAGTACAGTAGCCATAGGCTGTTTCTGTTTGAATTATAGCTGACCTAGGCTTTTCCTAGTGCTTGGTAACCAATGGGTTAAAACCTCTAGTGAAGACAGAAGCATCCAGTGATGGCAAATGGATAGTGATTGTAGGCTCCATTCTGACTTTTTTCCACTTGATTCTGTACAGCCAAGCCATATCTTGTTCTGTTTTGCTTTACCTTTCCCTAGGGGTGGAACTTAACCTGAAGGGAAGTCCCTCCATAGCATTGCAGATGCTTGTGCACCTGGTTTAATTTGCTCTGAGATCAATGTACAAATCCTATAATTTGTCTTTGCTATTCTCTAGATATCATTAATAAACTAATCATTTGGATTAATTGCAGGTTCTTAATCCAGCTGCATTTTGGGATCTGTGTTAAGCTAGCTTTTCCTGGGGTTATGTACTCTTCTGATTTGAAGTCTAGATTCTTTTCTGTTGTCTCTCTCCCCTGTTGCTTACATCTGATTTGAGAGGAGAACTCACAAATAGGTGGGCTTTCCAGGTGGCAGAGAGTTTCCTGTTAGATGGCTTATTTGTGAAGAAGCCTATCACAGCTAATAAACCCTCAGAGGTTCCTGTTCTCAGAGCATTCCCTCTTTGCCTTTAAAGAAGCTTTCAGAATCATGGAGACAGGTTGCATTGGTTCCCAGTGTTTGTGTGTTAGTAATATAGATTTCATAGATTTCATAGATTATGGGTCGGAAGGGACCTAGTAGATCTTCTAGC